AATTATACAATCAAAAATTTTCACACAAAAATAGCACTCGGTAGCCGTTTTCACCATGAAGACAAGTCCAGAGGTCAATTTTTTTTTTTTCAAATTAAAGTATATTACATTAGCTTTAAGTGCCATTTGTCACTTGAAATTGCAGTAATGACGACTCGTTATCTTGAGCAGAGTACATTTCAGTTTCAACCATCGAAATACATTACTTACATTTATCTGTATTTCTACATAATTCTCAAGAAATCTACAATCTGGCATTACANTTTATCTGTATTTCTACATAATTCTCAAGAAATCTACAATCTGGCATTACAAGTGAAAAAAATAATCCTGTATAATTTTTTAGGGTTATACAGTAACCAGTTTCACATATCTGACCGTAATAATTTATATCAATAAAATAACGTTTGATTTGTATACAGAAGTGATCTAATTATAACTGTATTTGACATTTAATATACATAGAAATTATAATCTAAGCATCGTCACTAGGAAATAAAGAACACTTGTGATGACTGTAAATAATTGAATCAAAATAAGCCACACTTATACTGCATTAGATCAAATTTTACATTAAATCAAAGCGTTCATCATTGTAATTGCGTAAAAGCACTAAAGAAAAATTTTGCTCAAGTATTAAAAAATACCTAAAATTTATATTAAAAAACATGTTATGTCAAAACGTGATATCATTCTTAACTTCTTCAACAATAGTTGATATTGTCAATGAAAAACGTTCTATAATAAAGTCTTTCTTAAAAACTGTTACTGTCTATGAGTAAAAAATAATGCAATAAACTGTCAGGTAATAATGATCATTAATTGTGATTGGTAAAATAAATAAAGCGTTAAAAGAATATTAACTAATATTTATGTAACGCATTACAATACCAGTATAAAGAAGATGAAAGCGGATGTATCACCTTATTACGTATAAATTAATTAAACTACAAGAGAAACTTCTGAATTACATTCTAAAAACGTTATTATAAAATGTATTGTTGTAATTTGCTTGTCTGCAGGTTTTATCTATAAATATTAGTTGTCATATTAAAATCTTAATAAAATACTATTTGATTTAATTTTATAATAAAATTCAACCTGAGACAAAAGGTAAAATTAAGACTTTTTTATAAAATGAATAAAATAGTAATTTGTGTTTTATATTCACCTGGCTCATCAGGAAAATTCATTGTGCTAACTGTCAATTGTAATATTAAATGATATTAATCAAACATTTGGGTGCAAGTGACATGTGATTATTGAAATTTATAAAATCGTTATATCTTTTTTAATCAAAATTTTAGTTAATGGCCATTAAGCAATACTAGTTTTTGATTGGCAGTATGTAGTGTCCCTAAAAGATCAAAACCATAATTCTATAAAATAATATAAATCAAACTATACTGATAGTCATCATATAAATTATAATTAAGTATGCTTTTGAAAATTAAAGAAAAAACCTTATAATAAAATGTTGTTGACATAACAGTATTCACTGACAACTTAAATAACTTTAGATCCAGTCAATATTTTTTGCTAATTTTTTTTTTAATAGTAAATATAATTGAGAAATATTACAATAATGTAAATCATTTTTATAATAAAATAAAAATATTTTAATTTAAAAAATTTACGAGAAATTCAAACGCTGGCTATGTTTAAAAAAAAAACAGACAGAAGTAAACACTATCATTTCATACTAAATTAATATGGGGATAGATTTTTCCAAGAAAATTATTAACGTTCTAATGACCGGCTTTAATTCAAATAAAAACACGAACGATACCTGTTAATTAGCTTTATCTCTTTGCAGGTAAAACTACTAATTCCAACTAAAATAGAATTTATTTATCATGAGTTAAGATTGATATTATACAAAGTATGAGGTCTAATATATGTATACTGCATTTCGCAACATTGAATTGTTCTTACTCTCATACCTAATGAAATTGAAACTTATAACCTAAGTAGTAAATTAGTAAGCCAATTAAAAATTTATCTTGTATTTAAATAAAATTTAAATACTGCATATTATAATTTTGGATTCATTTATTTATTCTGTGGCAGTACTCGTATTATTATTACTAATGAAGCGTAAGTAATTTTCATGTAAAAAGTTACCTCAAACTTATAATATGCATGAAAAGATAGTGTTTTTTTCTGTCCTTTTCTCAACACGTATTTCATACCGTAAAATAACACATGAAAATGCTCATCTTAAACTTTTACAGATTTTCCGTGAAATATTGTTAGAGGTTTACTCTGTATAATTATAATTGAACAAAAAATAAAATTGAATCATAACATTTTCTTCCTTGTAATAGTTTCCAATTATATTATATTTTATAGCACATGTTGAAATTATTTTTCTTTACTTCAGCAATAACAATTCAAAATGTTGAACAAATTATTGATAATGTAATAATTTGCATTAATTACATTTAAACAAGTAAGCTTAATTATAACTTATCAGAACGTTAAAGTATTCTTTAATATTATTACATTAATAGAATATATGGCTGATGAATGTAAATCAGATCAATTTGATGAGTACCAAAATTCTCAAATAATTTGAACATAACACATTACATTAATTTTATGATTAAATCTGTCGAATATTTGACAGTTCTAAATGGAGTTACTTCTGTTTTGGTATCGCCTATTAAATTTTTATAAAGTTACATCAATTTACGATGCGAGTCAATTCTACAATAAATTAAAAAATATGAATTTAGTATAATGAATATACTTAAATAAAAGATGGCAATAAGTTGATTAAACCGATTATTGTTTAAAAATAAATAAATACCACAGTAATGATGTAAGTGTGCATTAACAATCAAAACTCACCAACATTAAATGAATTAAAAAAATTATATGTTCTATAATAAATGATGTAAATTATAATAATATAAACTACCGTCAAAAGTAGATGGAGGAATTTTTTTTTATTATTATAGAAGACTACAGATTAAAATCATCCTAAAACTATGAGCAGCTGGAGAATTCGAAAACAGTCGAACTTTCTTCAAACACTATCGCATCGAAGTAGTAATCTGTGACAATGATTTGAATTGCTTCCAGATTTCAATCTTTACTAGTCGTCACTCTTCCAGTTGTACATCATTTTTTTGCGCTTTCTATTAGCTGATATCAGCGGCATTATACGGAGTAATTTGGAAATCAATTATTTTGTACACAATTTAAGAAGCGTAATACCATATGAATTTACACTAATTGTACCACTTGAGTTTACCGAAATCAAACGTCCGACGGCAATATTATTACACTTAACAATAAAACTGTAATAATATATGAAATGTAACCATAATGCATTACGACGACTATCTTGGGAACTTAAGATCACACGTGCTGTCGGTAGACGAAAAACGCTAATTGCAGCCGATCGTTTCCCATTACAAGCAATTTTTGATTTTTAAGTCACGTTGTTTGCGATCATCTTGCCACGTAATGACCAAATGCATAATAAAGCCAACACCGTCTACATGAGAACCGCTCGGATGTAATATTTTATACACACAACCTAATAATTGTTTATGTATACCACGTTTGAACTTATAAAGACTTCAATTGTGAGCATCGGTAATCAATCTACATTATACATACCCGCCCGGGCTTATACTGTTACTATGTGTATCAACCCGTCGTAGCGGTGCCGGTCCCATAGAGCACTCGTAATGTAGAAAAAATATAATAAAAAATAATAATAATAATAATACATTATTCTCGAAAGGTCATTGCGGCGTATAAATAGTGTCATTACAATGCGGTACGTGCACACAGGTGCTAATGATGATGTTTTATGATTTCGTTTACACGATGCGACCCGACACAATGAAATCTACAAACCGTAATTAATATTCTTACCTAATTGAATCGCATACTCAATACTATATAATTTTGTAAAACTTTCCAATACAAACTTACATATTTATACTTACATGGGAAATCGTTCATCTCAAGTACTACTAGCTAATTTTTATTTATTTATTTAGTTTTTAACTGTTCCTATGTGATATTGTTATTTAGGTAATGACATCACCTTATGAATAATATCGCAGAAAATCAATACATATAACCAATAGAAAAACAGATATATACAATCTTAACGTCTATAAAGTAACGTCTTAACGTAGTATAGATGATATCTGACAGTGATTAAAATCACTATCATAAAAAATGCTTCGATGAAAATCTATAGTTAGTGTTTAAATTCAAGAAATTTATTGATAATTCAAAAAGCAACATGATCTCCTATTTCCTTATTTTTATCGCGATTACAAGTTTTATAAATGTAATATTTGTATAAATATTTGTTATAGTAATTAAATATAATATGAAATATAATACTTAATAATTTAGTATTGGAATTTTTACGGAGATATTATAAAAAATTAGAAAATAGTTATTAATTTTATAACAAACGTCTATAAAAGTTGAAGGTCTTAATGCAATACTTAAAAAAAAAATTCTCATTTATAAATAAATTTACTGATATACAAGGAATTTTCGTCCGAAACTAAAATATACTTTTCTATACTCATTTTTGCGCTGATTTCAAATCAACAATTAGAGTTTCGCATATGACCTAAATAATAACAAAATCCTTCTAATTAATATAACAAATATTTATGTTTGATTATTAGGTTATGTATGAATAGTCAATAATTATATTTTAATTAAAAATAAGTTAAAAAAGTTCTACTCCCTATAAGCATTTTTAAGTGTTTGAACTTTCCCAGTGTAAAGGGAAATGGTCCGATTTAAAAAAATGTATGTCGAATAAAAGATGTATATAAATGGTATTTATCGTAAACAAATTGTATTTATCCATATATTTTTCAAAAAGTTATAGCATTTAAAGTTAAAAATATAAAAAAAAGTTTTTTTACAAAAATCGTATATTTTTTATTAGATAGAATTTTTTTTTTTTATATTAAAGTATATTACATAAGTTTTAAATTAAAATATATATAAGGGTGGTTCAAACACTTAGAAGAAGTTTTTTTTTTAAGATATTTGATCTCGCCACCCCGTATTTTTTACTTGATATAGAAAACTTAAACTGTAAAAATTTGGACTCGATCAATCAACCTCTTCCAGTACCACATTGGGGTTTAAGTTTGACCAAATAGTTTTGTATTTTACTTTTTCATATTTATTTCAACTAATATTATAGTTAGCGTAAAAATGTATACAATAAAAAATATTTATTATTAAAGTTCAAACAAAAAAAGTTCTAATACATTTTTTCTAAAATATACCTAAAGTCGTGTTTTTTGAACCATCCTATTATAGACTCATAAAAAAATGATTGACTTAATTAAAGCAGTAACTGATATCCGTTGAGTTGATGACAGTTGATGTACACCAAAAACTCATGACAATTTGTCACATAATCATGATATACCTGAGATGATTTAATTATTTTATATTAACATTTATAACATACTTACAATACTATAATAAGTCCCGAATAAAAAATTAATTTTGACAAAGCAATTTATTGAAACCTAAATACTCATAATCATTTTTCATGACGTTTAGAACAAAAGATTTTAAATAATCACACATAGAATGATAATTAGTACTATATACTGTCAAGTCATTGGTTTGAATCAATCGTTTAAATGTTGTAATTATGTCTATGTCTGATTCACATTTACTAATTTTGCAATATGTCGTGCTAAATTGAATTATGTCTTTTAATTTCGCCTGTAAATCTAAAGATTGAACGTGAGCTACGTCTACAAGAAACGTTTGAGCTTCATAAAGTCCATTATTAGTAAATAACGACGGGGAAAAATACTTTTTTCTAACATCATTCAAATAATCAATAAAATATTCTACCACTTCCTCTATGAGTTTTTCTTGATCTCGATATTTTTTATCTTTATTGTAGTCTCTCAAAGTAGTTAGAGCAACTGACAATATTTGAAACATGTCATCGGATGTCATAAGTGTTTCATAAAGCTTAACCGCACAATTAATTTTATTTTCATATTTACAAACATTAACTATATGTCCCAACATTATATTAAAATTACGAAGTATTTCAATATAGCGACATCTTAAAATAAGTGCAAGACATGACCTCACAAAATAATAATTTTTCTTATCAACCGAACATATAATGTCTTTAAAATTTAGCGATTTTCCATTTGTAAATTCAGTTTTAACAGCTATGTGTTGCAATGACTTCCAACCAGGCTGAGAAATATAATGATTACACAAATCAATACCTTCATTATGGCCGTATATCTTTCTTTCCGAATGAATATATCTGTATGAAACCAAAAAAAAAAAAATATATATGTATGCTTAAAATTAATATCATAAAAATTTTTCCATTCGTATAACCTTTTGAATAAATAAATGACATTCTTAAATTTATGTAATTAAACTATAAATCTTACTTGAACGTATATGTTCCTTCTAGTTTTTCAAAGCCTAGTTTTGAATAACAATTTTCAATTCTTCCGGAAAAATATAATTCAAGATCTTTATAAATATCATTAATATAATCGTTGGAGTCCTCCTCCAGTTTTACCATTTTGTCGTTGTAATATATCTTTGATAAAATAGAACTTTTGTCTTCTGTTCCACACACTTTTCTATTTTTGTAAAGATTTGATATGGCTAATTTAGCTGTTTCATAAAAATCGTTTATACTTTTAAAAGTATGGACCCAACTATCAGTACTAGATAAATCAAGTAATGAGATATTGCTTAACTTAATTGCATACGTGTAAAAATAATTTATTTCACTATCTATAGTTTTAATATTAAGGATAGGTGAGTTTATAATTCGTAGGTCGATTTTATCGAGATATTTTGCCGCTTTCAACATTTCTTTAAACATATTTATTGAACGATTAAAAATATTAATAATTAGCCTCGTGCAATATTTCAATTGGCTATTTTGATTGTTAAAAATATTAATTTCACATTTATTTAAAACAAACCTTAACATTACACTGAAAATTTTCATAGTATTGTAATACTCACAGTTTAAGAGACAAGTTATAAAGTAAAGTTTTTGTATAAAGTTATTTTCATCGATAATATCACTCGTGAAGCTTTTGGTATTAATTATTAAGTGCTCACGTTTAATTTCTGTTTGTTGAATTGAGTTCCATCCGTTTTGAACACGAATGTGGTTTAATGAGTCAATAACGTATTTCTTAAAATTTTCACATTGAGGATCACAATATACATCTAAAACTTGACTTAATTGCCAAAGTATGAAAAACTCATATAAAATAATTTTCTTAGACATTTTTTTTAATTTAATGAAACGAAATTTATTATATTATATATTTATGAGTAAAATAATTCAAAGCTCTTTTTTTTATTTTGCTTATACTTTATTGAAATGGAAAAATAACAACACAATTTTTTTTATAAAAACTACACTGCGATTTGTAATTCATTTAATATGACATTACTGCATAAATTTGATTCTATAAAGTAAAATATTTTTAGAAATATCAATGACGTAGGTAAATGCATAAATTGAAGTTAAATTTTTTTCAAAAATTCATTGTCATACAAATGGTTGAAAAATTCTAATAATTGTATTGATAAAAAAAAATATGAATTTAAAATTTTTATATAAATAAATTATGTTACTTGATAATTTTCTACATATTTTTTGAACGTCTAAAGACTTTAAATAAAATAAAAATTTTAAAAATGGTCAAACGTTCAAATAATAAGAATCGATAGTGTTATTTATGACATTAGGTAAAATAACTTTTTAGCTCGATTCTATTTAACTATGCAAACAATTGAATTTTTTTTTTTTTTTTTACTGTTAAAATATATTTTTTTTTACAAAACAACTAAGGGCAATACTATAATGGTCTTGAAACAAAAAAACGATCTTATAAGGGAAGGTTAAGCCCTTCCAATTTTTATATTCTCCCATTATAAACTCAGCTAAATTAAAGTGTTTATTATTTTTATATCTGTCGTGTACATTGTAAATAGTCATTCTGTTATTGATTTTACAAAATTACAAAAATTAAAAGATATTTTTGAATTATCACAGATAGATTTTAGAACTTTTTCTGTTTGAAATTCAATACTAAATAGTTTTTAATCTATACATTTTTACGCAAACTATAATATTTATTGATATTAATGTGAAATACTAAAAAACAACCCTATTTCGTCAAACTTCAACCTCAATGCGGCACGGGAAGTAGTTGTTTGATCAAGTAATAAATAGGGGGGTCACGTGATCAAATATCTGAAGTCGTGTTTTTTATACCACCCTAATATATAAATAGAGTGATAGTATTTCTGGAACATTTTCAAAAATTAAGTTAAAAAAATTGTCATTTTGAACCCCACCCCCCCACCGAGGTCAGACAAACGTGGAGATTTTCCACGTTTGCCGAGAACAAGGGAATTTTTTCCAATTTTTGAGGGTAATGCCTTGGACTATATACGATTTGTAATCTTTTGACGTATCGTTGAAAGAAATCCATTCGGTTAGAGCTGAGAAAAAGTGGTAGTAGACAGAAAAAAAAAATTGTAAAATCCACTTCGCTTCGAAGTTTATATAAATACGATTAATGTGCAAAATAAAGTTTAACAATAAAACATTAAGTGTGAAAATATTATTCATGCTTAAATATAAAACAAAATTACATTTTATGTTTTGTTATAATAACATTACTATATTTTCACGTTTAACGTTTTTAATCGCTGCAAACGTTAAAAAAAATAATGTATATACGAAAATACTTAAAAGATTCTTTATAATAAGAAAGATGTCATTCTAAAAAATTCACTATTCTAAAAATTTACTTGTAAGCGAGAGAGTTATTGCAAAGTACAAGTAAGAACATTTTAAATACTTATAAACTATTGGATTATTTTGTTTGTAATTTGGTTGTAACTGACAACAGTTTTTAT